GAAAATTTGCCCGTAGGAAAGGCGCCCGCTGCCGTGGCCTAGGTTTCTCACTGAAAATCCTCGTCCCCCGGCGGCACCTTTTTTGAATTTTCTTCCTTTTCAACGGCGTTTTTTGGGAATTTCGGATTTTTTTTTGAATTTTTTCGCAATAATATTCGGAAAATAGATAACTTTTAACACATTTTAATGCAATAAAAATTTTTGGTCGGAGTCCCCCTTTTAAATGTATGGAACAGTATTTAAATTTGCTATGTTAAAAAATCACGGTTTCATTAGAACAGTTTAGACTAGAATGCTTCTAAAAAGTATTCAACGATATTTTATTCCCAGATCCAAGCTCTTCTTGCTCCTTTCGAGGTACTAAGCTTCCATAAAACTTTTCCAAAATAAAAACACGCCATCCTTATTGTACATTATCACAATAAGTTATTACATAATTCTCTCGACTGATACGGAATATCACCACAGTCACGCCAACTAGTCAATCTCTTCTTCTTCTTCTTCTTGTCGTTAGTGGCCGTGTGTCGGATGTCCTCTGTCAATTTGTTATCATGATTTACTCACCAGAAGAAAAAGACGTCGTCGGCACAGTGTCAAGAATGTAAAGTCGTCTCTTTTTCTCTCTCCCTCCGAAGGGTTTCATTTTGGGACTGTGAAGAAGGGCGGTGCATTCAAGTGTGAATATCTGTTGATGATCCTTTATTTGACTATCTGATCGTCCTTATTCGGATCATTCTCAATAATATGTACAGGGGCATTTGAAGATTCTGTTTTTACACTTTTCAGAAGAAATGGGGATGAGGGAAAAATTCTGAAAGAATTATGAAATTTTTGAAAAGTCTGAAGATGTCTAAGAAAGATTGAACAGAGAGTAAAATGTTTTACTGCTTCTAGAAGTTGGTTTCATAACTTTTCATTTTGTTCTGTTTGATATGTGGTTTAATGTTTCAGTGATAACATTTATTGCGAATTAAGTTTCTTTATTGTTAAGTTATCGACCAGTGTTTTAAACTTCAATTGATTTTTTTTTATCAAACTTTGTTTCAATTCTTGTCAGAACCAATAAGAATGTTCAAATAAAACTTTTATACAACTGAATTTTGAACAAAATCTAGAGTATCGCTCAAATTAATGTTTTTTCAACTCCGATTTAT